TGCTGTTATGTTTTGTTAACAAGCTTGGATATATTTTTGCTAACAATTTTGCAACATTGCCAGATAAAACAAACTCTGCATCATATTTGATGTCTTTCTGCTAACAAAATTTGTAACATGCATTTGGCAAAATCTGTTTCGACAAATTTGGTTATCTGGGTATATATATATATTACATATATATTACATATATATTACATTTTATTTTTTTACGAGAGAATTTTTACTGGAAATATATTTCAAGTTAATTGTATACGTCTTAATCATAAGATTTAAATATATATTATATATTTACATATATTATTGTATATTGCTGCGTTTGACACGTGCGTCAACTATCACACGTATCACAAAAAAATACAAGAATTCAAAAACAGTCATGAGACTGAAACCAACAAACAGTCCTAGTAAACCACCAAACGACGCTGAAAGAATTGACAAAAACTACTATTTTTTCTAAAAATTACATGAATTTTATATGAACGTATATATATATTTGCCTTACCGAATAAATTGCGCCAACTGTAATTGAGTATCCGTCGATATTGAAAAGCGACCAAGTCATTGAAGTACACATGTATTATGCTGTGATTTTTTATACTGATGGCGTTACTGCAAAAATACAAAGACATTATTATACAAGATATGTACGTACAAATAGTATTATCATACAAAATATACATAAATATTAGAACATTTTTTGTTGGCGTATTGTAGAGAGAGAACAAAATGTGCGTCGTTATTTTTTTACAAAGTCAACTGAACACTTTGTAGACAGCGCTAATTTCTTGATAATAATATTTTACCGAGGATTTTGCGTGAAGCTGCCATCGTTATAATAGATAGATGAATCGAGAGATCCGAAAGAACTTTCTATGGGATATTGAAACAGCGAGCAATCCGGTATACATCCGCAAGGTCCACCGTCGATTTTTTCTATGTTCCTCGGTAAATTATCATTCTTTTCTAACAAAGGCCAGGAAGTATCAAAAAGTGCTGTGAGAGAAAAAACAAGATATACAAAAATATAGTTAACTGTTTTACGTAAGACATACAGACTTATTCTAGTGACGTTTCTACGTATATATATATAAATTTGAAAACTATAAAAAAATATATGTATATATATATATATATATATATTTTTTTTTTTTATAGTTTTTAAATTTGAAATTGAAAAGTGAACGATATTGACTTTAAATGCAGATGTGTGTACATGTACTTACGCACTTACACTTAAATGACTTTAAGCAGTAGACGTCTTTGAGATCGCACACCTTGGTACCTGAGCCGCGAAACGATGTAATTTTAATTTCCGCGCGATGCGTTAAATGCTTTTCAAAAGTTAGTAAGTAATAATTCGGCTACTTACCGTTTTGCGGAAAGTAATAAGGGATGCAGCCGCATTTCGCTTTTGCGATAGTGGCGCGACACTCCGCGAGACAGTTGTGATATGAATATTCCGCGTAAGTCAAATTCTTCTGTTTGACATTCGCGTACAGCACCGCGTCGGCCTCGTCGCTGAATATGCACCGTCGCGTGGATAACGCTAGATTTCTCACGTTGGAATTCGAGTACATTTGGATGGGATTGACGCTCACAAAATGCTGACTGTTCAGTCGCACCAATTGAAGCGCGGCGTTGAAATTAGGATAATCGAACGAATAATGTATCAACACCTACGATAATACGTAAAAAGTTACACGCGACCGTAGAAAAAATATTATATGTACTTTTCGTATCTCGAGTTAAAGAAAGTGAATTATGTAAAATTGAGTACCTTAACTCCGTATCCTCCAACAATCGCGGCGTGATAATCGTTAGGTTCCGGATTCACTATTACTGTCATACCGGACTCGAATCCGCAAGCAGAAGTACTTATCCGACTTTAACAACATATAGAGATGTTCTATATTAATTGACGAAAGGCGCGCTTATATGTGATGATATTTATAGATATATACTATAGATGTATACTCGTTTGCTATCGTCGTGCCTGGGAGGGAATAGTAATTGAAACTACAGCACAGACCGTCCCGCGATAAGACTTGTTTGAAGTACTTGTCGCATTGATCGAGTTTGCCCTTCCACTTGCACGATTGCAACAAGGTACTGCAATTTTGCGTTATCTGAAAGAGTTATAATTTGTTTGTTAACAAACAAAAGAGACCGCAAGTTCAATCATAATTCAGGAAATTATAGTAATGTTTCGTAGGAAATTTTAACTTTTTTTAAATTATTTAATTAATTGCGCAATGCAATTATATATATATATTATTTTGAGAAACGCGCTAACACAACAAACAAATGCAACAAAAATTTTATTGCATATCGCGCAAGAGATTTTGTCTTCTTGTCGATCGCACAATTATTCTTGCTTTCGTCAATCGCGCACAGATAGCGTTGCCAGTGCTTTTGTCTGTCCGAGATTTCGTACGGTTGCACTACTGCCGCGGCTACTGTTATACTTCATTATACTTACTTTGGCAATTGTGAATATTGCTTGTGCATTGCAGTAACATATTTTTTTTTTTCTAATTAATACACACCAAACTTATCACATCGAGAATGCTCAAGTTGTTGCTGTCAAAAATATTCTGCAGATTACTGAGATTCGTTCGAACGTCGTGTCCGAATATTCCCGGCACTATCAATTCGGTCAACAGCCGCATCTCTTGAATTAAGTATTCTTTCGAGACATTGTCCGGTATTTTTCTGTGGAAAAAAAATCGCAAGTAAAACGGGAAACACACAATATAGCAATTCTCGCGGAAAGATCGCGTGTATGTGCGCTCGCACATGTGTGATAAAAAAAGAGTGTTTAAAAATTGTTTACACGCCGCGAAAGAGGATTTTTGCGCGCGGCGCAAAAGATTACTCACAGATTTTCGACAAACTGTGTAGTCAAATTATACGACACGCGATTAATATTGCAGACCGTTATCGCAGGAAACGGATAATTCCATATTCCATGATGCGTGGACTCGATGACCGTCAGAGTGGGATGGGCGGCGTAATAATTCCACGACATTATCATCAAGATGATGGAACAGCACAACGAGGCGAATACCACTATCGCCCAAATAATCCTGTAAATGCGGTTACCGGCATTTTCTTGAGCGTGCAATTACTCAAGGTAACATGTTCAGCAACGAAAAGCAACTTGTTAACTTGAATGTCAAAGTGAATTACACAATAGTAGAGTAAATAAAATTGTTAACAATTCGCAGAAGAACCTAATTCCCTTTGTCAGCAACAATTAAAATTGAAATGTATTCAAAATTTTCGCAATTAAATTCGTTAAACAATTAAGACTTAAGGCTCGTCGAAATTGTCAACAAGAAATATACAAGGCTGTACGAGCTATTCGCAGGATGTTTGTGCGGAAAACTGTGCGTGTATATATATATATATATATATATATACACATGTAACAAATTCTACTTGTAAATTTTAGTGAGTGTTTTTTGGATTGAAATCTCAATTCTTAAATTCACACGGGATGCTGGATTTGCATCACACATATGAAAGACCCCGGATACCCCCCTAACTAATTTTTAAAACACTCACTTGTAAAAATTTACAAGTAGAATTCGTTACATGTGTATATATATATATATATATACACGCACAGTTTTCCGCACAAACATCTTGCGAATAGCTCGTACAGCCTTATATATTTCTTGTTGATAAATTCGTTAATTTTCCTGATTACAGATTGCATACGCATGTAGATACGAGAGACGTCTATATATTTTATATTTAAATAAAAGTCCATCATCATAGACATGACGTGTCGCGGGACATTATTGATACAACGCTCCACCAATCATTTGCGGTATATCTGATAAGTAATAACGGTGCGGTGAAATGCCTTCAATAATTCTTATTGAAGAGACATGCATAAAAGATAAATAAAAAAAGGGGGGGGGAGGTAATAATTTTTACAGTTTACCTTTAATTTATTGATCAGATAGAAGGAAAGAAAGAAAATTCCAATATCGAACTACAATGTCGTATTTCGCATATGTACATTCACTTCGAACGCTGTGTGTTTTTTCATCAAATTTTATTTGTTATTTGTTTTTGCAAAAATTTATATATTGATTATAAACGCGCTGTGTTAAGAAATCGTTTGTTTCTCGCGATAATTTCTGCTGTAACATCAAGATTTTCGCGCACACGTACCGCTCCGCTTTCGAACGTTGAGTTTGACTGATGTACTTGTAGCCGTGCAATCCTGTCTCGCGACAAAATTCGGCTGCCTGTTTCTTCAGAATGCTCCAGCACTTCACGTTTTCGTACGACACTTTGTCGCGAAGTTTTAGCCTGACCTTCTTCATGTTCTTGCGATGTTCGATCGATTGTGACGGCCGAATTTTTTTTGACGTTAGGCGACGCGGCGAGTCACAATCGCGTCCGAATGAACGATTAATCCCGGTCGTTCGCGAGAAAAGCGAGAGAAGCAAAAGATGAAAAATGAAAAAAGAAGCGAAAAGAAAAACTAGCTCTACTCTCAGGTACGTTAGCGCGTTGTTAACTGCCGTGTCCGTGAGTTATCATCGGCGACACCGAGTGTACGCGCGCGCACACAATGCAACGGAGTACCAAGTACGCGCGCGACACAACATGAAAAATTCATTCGTCCTTACCGATTGGCGCGCGCGATAATTTCAATTTTCCCGTGCCGCGCGATTTTATCTCGCTCTGTGTTAATTAATTATTAACCTACGAGAATGTCAAAGCACAACTAATGCGTACATTACGGATTGTCGTGACACTTGGCGATCGCGCGAAGTTGCCGCGAGCCACAATGTGTCTCCGTTTACATTTCGATTAAACATATCTTGGTCTTGACGAGTTTTAGACCGCTCCGATAAAAAAACGTGATTGTCGCGATGTTATTATTAAAGGAATAAAAAATATATACCCCCGTCGGAACTATCATTTTTTATATTACACGCGTATGTAAATTATACAGTACGTAAATTATACAGTACCTCGTAGTATATCTTGTATACTTTTCTCTCTGGACAAGTATAATTACTCTTGTGTCTCTTCGAACACTTTGAGATGATTATCCTCAAAACGAGCGATTGTTAGACGCGAAGTGATGGACAATTAATCTATTTCGAAAAGGAGGACGAAAAGAGGAGATTTTCAGTCACAGTCAGTATGTCGTACTTGCTCGAGACACCGTCACGTGCGCGAGGATTCGAGATTATCTCTCGTCCGCTCAGATATTAAAGCGCGGACGTATCTATCTCTCTGGATTTCTAAGCGCGATGCAGCTCGACACTCTTCCCGTACACACAATCGCGCGAAACAAACTCCCGCCGTTGACAAGGTCGTGGGATGTATATATATATATCAGCGAATCTCTTCTATCGAATATCTCTCTCGTCGGTTCGCTCAGGGTAATGACGTGTGCCCCGCGAGCACACGGTGTTTAGCACTTTATCTGCCTCCTCCAAGTTATTAATGACACTTGCTGAGTCAGGTGGTGTATGTGCGCGCGGGGCGACGAGGCGACGAACGACATCTTCAAAGTTTAATATCCACGTGGAGCGCCGCGCGGAGAGAGTTCTCGCTCTCTCTCCTCTCCTCTCCTCTCCTCTCCGGCCGACCGGTCGTCGCGAACCGGTCCTGCTACTTGTGGCCTCCCCCTTGTCGAGAGAGTGTACATTCGTCCCCGGGCGTCATCTCCGTTTCTCAATATCCTTCGAACCCAACGGCGGAATCGAGTGTCCTCGCGAGCGCGACTTTTATTTCATACGGGTGCTAAAAATAAGTGGCCGCCGAATATAATAAAAAGGAATTTTCGAAGAAGAGTATTTAAGGAAGAAACCGCGCGGCGACACGAGTGAATTTTCACGTTGTTGTACTTTTTAATGAATTTTTGTAAGAAATATTGGGATCTCTCACAATAGAAAACAATTTTATGTTGTGTTAATATAGAACGAAACAAACAAAAAAAAAAAAAAGACTGATGAGATAAACGACGCAAAGACGGATACTCTCTCCAAATGCATTTAGGTCGAGTCGGTCATCAGTGGGGTAATTTTAATTATGAGATAGTTCACCCCAATGTCGGTCTCGTATAGGGAAAATTACTGTTCATGGAACGGGGTGAGAATCCGGGGTGGATGGGGTAACAATGTATTATGCGTTCCCCTGTCAACCCCTCGCGCTAACCGCACAACCCCTTCCTCCTTCCCTCCCCTCACCTCATTCGCCCCCGTCTCCCACCAACAATTCGTTAACTGCTATCGAATTGACTTCAAACCAGTAACTTCGGAGTGTACGCTCATTAGAACGTGACAGCCGTGTCATTGTCGGGCTTAAATGACGATTGTCTTTGAATAATGTGTTTAGTCGCGTCATCCCTCGTACACGCGCGCGCATCCGTTTCGCGTTTCGAGAACATTCGCAGAGATCGAGAGACACAATTTATTTGCAGATTTATTTGCGATCTCTTATCGGAAGAGATTGTCGGTTATAAACTTTATAATTCTAAGTTCATAACTCAGTATTCGTCATTTTACGCGAAAGTCGCGCGCCCGCTCGAAGTGAAATCAAAAGATCTCTCTCATATCGTAACGCCATATCTTGGAATATACTCAGCCTGCATGGCGCAGGGGTTTGAGCGACGGATTGTTTAAAACTACCCCGCTCGTTCGGGGTAGTTTTACGTAGGTAGTCGAGAAAGAAAGGCGGTTATAGATATGAAGAGTTTCCCGGGGATTTGTACCCATCTATATGGCGTCTGTATTACGGCGCGGGGGCGACGAAGGGGCGACGCATTTCGCGGCACATTGAGCCCGCAGACTTTAAAATACCTTCTCCTCCCTCCGAACTCCGTATCCGAGTCGCGCATCCGAGAAAAATTCGTTTCACGGCGCACGCGACCCTTCCTTCTCTCGCGCACCACCCTTTTCACGGGGGTGTAATAGACGCACTAATGTCACACAACCCCGGATCTGTTTCGGGACAAGTTGGAAATGTCAAACGATCGATCGTTCAATCGATAAACATGGTTACCATGTGGTGATTATTCAATTTATTAATTGCCAAATTGATTGAGACACACGAATTATAAATAACGCGCTTCCAAAGTTTGAAAATTACGCGCAATCTCGAGAGATTTATTTGAGAAATTTTTTTCACGCGCGATTAATCACGAAAGTTCGACGAGAAACGTGCGATTCATAAACGCAAGTATCAAGTGTTATCTGTCGGCATGTGTGCTAGTTGAACGAACCGAACGAAAGAAGGGAAACACATAGAGGGAAAAGGAGGATGGGTACATAGCGGGGGCATATATAGGGGCTTGCGCGTGGTGGGAGACTTTATGGGGGCTCCCGAGTATATTTCCTGATTGAGCGAACTAATCCACGCAAAGGAGGTTTTATCGTCGAGGTATACGCGACCGAAGGGCTCCCGTCTATATACGCGCGGAGTGAGTCGCATCGAGTGAGAACGTTCGATCAAGACGCATGCCGCGGTAGAGAGAGAGAGAGAGAGAGAGAGAGAGAGAGAGAGAGAGAGAGAGAGTTTCTCTCTCGAGGATCTTTCTCGAGAAAGATTTGTTCGGAAGGATATTTGCACAAATACAAAGACGTATGTACGTAAAAATTTATATTGAAGTCGAAACTAAGAAATTCTAATTTTTTCCCATAGATTTAGGAAAATTCTATCTTATTAACATGGTTGAATTATTGACGTGAGTTTTTTAAAAGAAAGAAATCTCTTAATTTAACAAATTATAAATTTATGTGAAATTCACAAAAAATTCTCCCGCGCTCGCGCGATCTAATAAAAGAAAATATCGATCAACGAGATTGAGAAGCGGTTATATTGCTGCAGCGAGGTAATAAAGCATCCATCGGCTACACGTGAAGTTTCTCCTATCGTATTCACGATCGCGCGCGAGGAGGAACTTTCCCGATCAGCTTTACAGGAGGTTTGTCTGCGACGATGTTTACGATAAGCGTAAACCCGGGGCGGACTTTTCGGCGCATCCGCGCGGTATCGACGGCGGCATCCACGCGGCGGTTGGTTCGCCCGATTCGTCTGTGCGGGTCCCATCAGAAAACTCCCGTAGTATCCTCTCATACGGAAAGCCTTGCCAAGAACAGTGAGATTTCCCGAGACACGGCCTGGGCGGATCCCCAGTTGCCGATCTTTTAATCGTAACTCGCGGCTGGATACTAAGCAGGCAGATCTATTTTATTGTTCCCGCGATAACACGGCGGCGCCGAATTTTTACGGTGACAGCGAAAGACAGCGGGAAACTTCCGAGGCGCGCTCGGCCGTATAGTGCAATCGATTCGCAGGATTTTCGACTCGTCCTTTTAGATCAGACGCCTATCGGACGTGAGATAAGACTCTTGAGATTGGGAGGCAGAGAGGCTCATCTGTGTTACAATAATTTATTCGATTTTCAGTTCCACGAAATATTTCTCAAAAATAATCAGATTTAACAATCAAACAAAATTTCCAAGTTAAAAGTCACGAACTCCTGTAAAAACACTTCTGTATGTAAATCGCATGAAAGATATTTTTTTTTCAACATAAATAAAATATATTTGAATGTCTATCTTCGCGTTACTTATTTGCTGAATCCGTTGCGGCTGAACGCAAACTCGTTCGTTGCGACGTAAGGTGTAAAGCGCGTTGTGTGTACATGTGTAATGTCACGAGGTGCAAAACGAGAGAAAGGAGGGGTCGCGGTAAGCGTATGGTCAGCCCCCGAGAATCCCGGCGTAAGAGATCGGATAACGGGGGTGTGGACACTCCGTGTTCTCCGCGCGCGAACACGATTGCACGGCGCAAAGAATGAATATTCAACAGTAAACACCGGTAACCGCGCGCGCTCGGCAAAAGGGTTCCGGACGAAGGGCGCCGCGGGGGCCGTACGGGGTTTGCCTGTGGCTGCACGGCGGCGAGTCCGCGCCGTGACTTGGTGCGGACATAAAAGCGATCTCTCGCCGCGCGCACGCCAGCTGAGAGGGACGTTGTTTACGATATTACATCTATAATACCAGTCAAGTGGCCAGTGTCCGGCCATCGCCGTAATCTCCTCTGCGCCAGGATCCCGCAAAAGCCCTTGTCCAGATACAGCACGTCGCGCCGTTCGTGAAATTATAATAATATTCGGTCGTGGTGCCGCAACGCCTTTCCTCAAGTTTCTTTCGCGTGTTGAAACTTTTTCGAGATCGTTTTCAGGAGATTACGAACGTAGTTATTACGTAGTGTATTTTATAAGAGTGTTTGTTTTTTTTTTTTTTATAAAATTTAGAAATATAAATGTTGAAAAATAGCTGTTACGCGACTGCGAGCTCACAAGATGACTTATGCGTAATTAATACGATATCTCTGATTCTCGATTGTCTATTGCAGAAATCGCTGGCCGAAGGACAAACATCGTTCTGAAGAGAGAGAGAGAGAGAGAGAGAGAGAGAGAGAGAGGGAGGGGATCGGTATTTTGATTCTGGCTGTTATAGGGAAGACATATATCACTGATTCACCCCCGTTGCCTATAGAAGGCAGTAGTTAGGGTGGTGATGCTGGGAGGATCGAATGGACGCGCAAGGATTTATTGCCCCGGCTCGATATATATGATTATTTAAATCCTCTTCAGCTTCTCTCTCTCTCTCTCTCTCTCTCTCTCTCTCTCTCTCTCTCCGGCATTATTCGACATATTATACCAGAGGTTCGAAATTATTATTCTCCCAAGAAGCTTCCGCTTGTCACCATCTTCCAATTAAGAATGTAAACAAATACACGCGTTAAAGATTTGTCCGGAAGTAAAAAATAACGTTGCGCGATACAACAAACCGTTGTGTTGTTTTCGTTTAGTTTACAGTATTTTGATCGCAGATGTATATTGTTGCAGATAACGGATACAAGAGACGAGCGAGCGAGACAAAAGCGAGAGACTCCTCGCGAATATCAAATCCCGAATCGACGGATCGTACAAGTTCGCGGATTGACAGTGAGGTCGGATTCCGCAAAAATATTCGAAGCACACGGATACATTTCACGCCTAATTTATCCCGAATTCCGCGCTGAATATTCTTCGTTCTCGATCTCGATGCGGGTCACGCGTCACTCGTCTTCTTTCACGAGCGTTGGAAATTCTCACCCGCGGGTGGTTCACATTTTCGGTATTAATATTCTTAATTAACACTTAATTTTATTAATACAATAAGAGAGAAAAAATTCTGATCTGATCTGAAAAATATACAAACATTGCGAGAGGGAATCGTCGAAGAGATCCTCGAGATATTTTTTGCGAGGAAGAACGTAGCAATGATATGATACTCTATTTTGTTTTGTACCGAACTACCAGAGCTTGCGTCATTAACATGGACAACCCAATGCCACTCCGGAAATATTTCGGTCAGGTCGTTTGCCGTGCTCTCTATATGTATCTATATATTTTCTTTTTCTCGTCTGCGCTCTCTTTCTCGTACACACACATACGCGTATATATA